TCTAATTTGTATAGATATCCTATTAATATTATAAATGTGAAAGTTTCTTTGTTTGGATGTTTAGATGTTTGGATGTTTGTCAGTCAATCACGCCGAAACTACTGAACGGATTTTGATGAAATTTGGTATACAGATAGAGTGTTAGCTGACTTAGATAATAGGATACTTTTTATCTCACTAAACATTTCCCTAGGGTCCACGCGGTCGAAGCCGCTGGCGAGAGCTACGTGCTACCTATTTTATATAGAAATTTGAAATATGATCTAATCTTATATCTAAAATAAAAAACATTGCTGGAACTTTTCAGTGACTTTTTTCTGTCCCAAGTCAAAATTATAAAACTCCTAAAAGTCTATTAATCATTCAGACAACGCACACCTGTGTCAAAGAATATCTTTTGCATTTTAACGCCTTGTCTTCTGAGCTTTGTTTTGGGGAAATGACAATGTTCTCAAACTTATGTACAAAGATTAATTTTTGTCATTCATTCATTGTCACTTTATAATTCATATTCAGAATACATGGAATGGATGCCAAGTTACTTATAAAGTTTCTTTGTTATTTCTAAGTACCTTCACGTACTAATGAAAATGGGTATTAAAATACCCACCATAATACCATCATGATTATATTGTCAAATAACAAAATTATAATGCAAGATCATGAGCAGTGTATTAATATCCACATTGGAGGAATCGAATCAAATAGGGAGAATGAGCCATGACCCACCACGCGGGGTCAAAGCGGATTGATGGGTGTTTATTATGTAAGTAGTAGTTATTTGCACTCATTCTAAGCAAATTTTTTACCATATAATTTACTAGCTGTTTTCTCGCGACTTCGCCCGCGTAAATTATAGCCTATGTCCCACGCGTATGATTAAGCTTCTCGTAGGAAATTTTCATGATCTGATCAGAATTTCCAAAGAGCCCCAGAACAGAGTCTTTGCGAAGAGGAGGTAACCAATGCATATAAAATAAAGTTAAGAAATTTACATCTTTACAATATTATTATAGATATAGGTCCTACCTATTCCTAGTCCTACCATAATTATATTCCTCATAAAACGGTTTTGCTGATATATTTTTTCTTTCTGTGAATTTATTCAAATTAATGTCTAACAGATTTTTTAATATACAATATCCGAATCAAGTGAAAGTATGAGAATTGTTGGTATTAGTCACAGAACATAGAGAGAGAATAGAAGTATAATGATATTGATTTAATATGGGAACCGAGTGTCGCCTCTCCGCACACAAATACAGATTAGATGAAATGATCATTTTGTTCACTACATGAAAAACTGCCACGCGATACGTTTGTGATAACATAAACAGAATCCCAAAAAGATACTAAGCTAAGAAATCACACGATTAAAAACAAACTCTAATTCAACGTGATAATAAATAATTTACTTTAACATGAATGTTGAACTGTCACGTGGCTGTATACGGGGATACCAGAAGGGAAAAAATATTTTAAAATTATGCACATTTTAAAAAATTGGGGACATCATTTTATATGCGAACTATTAAGATTAGATTTTGCTGTAACCAAGTGAATATTAAAAAATAACGCTTTTCCCTATATAACTTCTTTTAAAAAACGCAGTACAAAAACTAAGAAAACTTAATGATAAACTCTATCATATGTCTGTGGAGTAATATAATTAAGCGAGGGAAAGTGTAAGAAAAAACAAAAAATTAAGAAACCAACAGAATTTTTGTATTAATTACATTAAGCCTAATTTGTAATTTTTTCTTACTGGTATCATTCCGATTGTGCATATTAGTGATGTGACATAATAGTAGTTGATGAAATAAGAGGTTTAAATTTTGTTATGAAACAGTAAAATGTAATTCAGTTCGACAATGTTCTACAGTGGTTTGATAGTAATTATTTAAAGCTTAATTCAAATAAAATGAAATACATAAAGTTTGCATTACCTAATGTGAGGCATATTAATACACTTATAAATGTAAATAGTGAAAAAGTTGAGTTGGTGAAATCGACAAAGTTCCTTGGTACACTAGATTCCCGACAGCAATGGGATCCTCATATTGATAATTTGTCAAGTAGACTGAGTTCTGCAGCATTTGCTGTTAAGCAAATTAGACTCTTGACAAATGTTGAAACGGCAGGATTGGTATATTTTAGTTATTTTCATAGTGTAATGACGTATAATCTATTGTTGTGGGGTTCTGCGGCTAGCATTCAAGAAATTTTTAATCTACAAAAGAGAGCTGTTCATGCTATATATAATTTACGGTCTAGAGAATCTCTCAGAGAAATATTTAAAGAAATAAATATTTTGACTGTTGCCTCTCAATACATCAATGAAAATATTATCTACGCAAGAAAACATTACGATTCCTTCACAAAAAAAAAGTAGTGTTCATAATCATAACACAAGAAATAAAAATAAACTTGCCGTTCCAAGCTTCAGACTTCAGAATACCAGAGGATCAATGCATTTACATTGCTATGTTTAATAAAGTTCCACAAAATGTAGTTGACCTACCCATAAATAAATTTAAAATTCATGTAATGAACATAATTATGAGTAAAGGCTATTATAAAGTTGATGATTATTTTAAGAATCGCAATGCATGGAATGAATAGCCATCGCTTTGTTCTATAAAGACTAATTATATGTTCAACCTATGTCCTTCAGACTTTGAAAGTTGTATTTATTATTGTGATAAGATATGAAATGACATGATTTATGTAAATATCATAGGGCTGATAAGTTTCTTTCGCTTGTTCTTCTTGTCAGCTAAAAGACGTCCTGAACAAGTGGTAGGGGAAAAAAAATTTTGGACGATTCAAAAGCGATTCATAATAACTAATATGATCATTACAATAATAAATTGATCATAGCCATGTTTGTTTTACTTTATTATTCTAAGTTTTATAACTGTAATAATAATAGTACCTACATTTTTAATTGCAACGACTGGACAATAAGGAATCGCTGGTCAAGTATGAGTTTGAAAGCCGTGACAAAAAAGTTTGAAGACAGACACAAAAGCGATAAGTATGTACAAACGTCAATCTACATATAAAGTCACATCCGTTTGAGACATGCGTTTATAAACTTATGTGCAAATATGAAGCAACAAAAAAATTGATAAAAGCTGTTCTGTGGGCGGTTCTTTAAAGTGGCTATCTTAACTCGAGTTCTATAATAATGGTTTCCGATTATGAATCAGCATAATAAAGTAAATTAAATTGACGCCTATAAATTAATTTTGTAAATTATCGTAAATTCACACCACCAACAATATTACGTTAGTTGAAAGCATGATTTTTTGTTTGTATAGATAATATGTTGTTTTGAAATTCATTTGATAGGTTTAGGTCTAAAACGGATAGGACAAAATAAATTATGTAAACAGGGCAATCCGTTGTAAAGTTATTAGGGAAACTGAAATATAAGTAATGCAAAATAAGTGAAATCCAGTTTCATTATCCAGTATCCAGTATTTTTTGCAAAAGTGCACAATATGATTTACATTGCTGTCTAGAAACGGGGTTAGAAACATTAATGTTGGTTTGAGCAAACAATGTATATTTTATTTGAAATTGTGTCAAATTATTACGGTTTTTTATATTTTAGCACTAAAATTGTACTTACCAGTGAAAGGAAATGTTTGCATTAGTTAGATTGTATACTTTGTTTTGCTTTTTGCAAGTGATAATAGCACAAAACGGTATTTTTTATAGAAAAAATCAGTAAAATCATCACTCGACGATTGACGAACGACTGACAAATATAAAACCGAGGAAAGGGACGCCCTTTCCTCGGTTATATGAGTAAAAGCGCATATGCCAGCGACGCTTGCCCCGCCCACTTACTACTTCTATTCTCTCTCTATGTTCTGTGGTATTAGTGTACCCGTCCTCGTATCTCTCTTGAGGCAAAATTTGAAAATCAATGCTTGGCTCTTGTGAGTAAAATTATCGGCTACTTGTTGAATCTTTTTTAATTGTATCCATACGATCACGGCACAGATCAATGGGAAAAGTTTATTTGCTCAGAGAAAAAAGTGGAAAGGAAACATAATTAAAGTGTTGTTATGTAATGCAATAAAACGATTTATCTTACCATTGTTATGCGATATAGCTATAAATGAAACAACTTTCAAACGGTTTCATCGCGTTTGTATTTAGTTTTATTGGCCCTTTACAGGTTCCGTGTTCACATACGACTAAGGTGTTTATTGTCTTTATAATTAAAAGTATAGCTACCTTTAAACAACACTATTGGTCATATTCACAATATTTTTTTTTAATATTTTAATGAAAACGTTTACATTTATTAAATTATTTAAAAAATACATTTAGACTTATTTGTTTACCCCTGGTTACCGTAATCTACCATCTGTTCCAAATTTGGGAATCTTGTATGTGAAGAACTGGCGAAACAAACTCCGACAAGATCTACCTAATTTAGTTTTAAAATGCGCACCTTAGCAGAATTTTTTCTTTTCAGAATATTATTATAAATGATTAGTTTAGTAATACATACTTTAACTTAAGGCTAGTGTCTTTAAAAGGTACTATAGATATCCGCACTTACAGATCATCAAGCCCCAGTTTAGACAACTCCTGATAGATAATTCAAAATTCACAGACATTTTGTATATTATTTCATTTATTTTTTATTTTATGATATTATAGGAAGATCTACAGCTACCATACCAAATATGAAACACACTTTACACATACATCAAGTAATAGATTGCCTACTTGTATACAATTAGAATTATCAACAGAAGAAATCATTGCTTTATGTGTTTCTTGCCGAAGATGGACTAGTATTAAACAAATCTCTTTAAATTATCTCTCTATCTTAATTAAAATCTCCAGACTGTTTCACTCATTATGAGTAATATGTGTGAGAAACGTGAAAGAAGAACGTAAATAAATTGCCAGTATATGACTTTTATTTATTATTTATTAAATTCAGAATTAACAAACGTACAAATTCAACAGTGATGATGATGACGAGACCAACTACGGCGGAGATGGCGGAACGGTTCGCTGGCACCGCGACAGCACCCACGCCCGCCACGTCCGTGAGCAATGGACCCAAACCAAACCCCAACGGCAGCAAGAGACCCACTCCCCTCGTCATCTACCCCACCGGTATGTATAAGCAATAGGCATCGTGCCTTACAATTCTTAGTATCTTATAGAAATGTCAAATATGAAAAAAGCTTAAAAAATCCAATTTGTCCTTGGTTATTCAAATATGTAATGAGATTCGAACCCATGATCTTTCGCAATCTCAGAGTTCCAGGTTCGAGTCCCATCTCAGTTGACAAAGTGTTGCTATGGACAAAGTAGATTTTTTAAGCATTTTTCATAGCATAGCATTATGGATACAAAATTGATAAAATATAATAAGATGGTATCTTTTTGCTACTTAATGCTATCAAAATTCTGTTTATATAAATATTACTAACGCATGTTTCTATAAGTCCAATTTATATATGTTTAGCCACTAGCTTAACGCCAATTTAATAGTACGTGGTTCACTAGATAAATGATAGTTTAAGATGCTTCTAGAATAAAACAAATGTAACTACAAGGTTTATTTTGAAACATAACTTGGACACTGTTTAGTCGGCACTCTGTGACGTGTGATGAAAATGTCAAAAGGTAATTAGTTCTCACTCACTTATAAAGACAAGTATTTTTTTTTCAATATAAGAATAGTTTGTACTCATCATTTGACATAATATATGAAGATAGAACATATTTGTAATTGGAAACCATAAACGAGGGTTGAAAGATATTTTAAATAGCGATAGCATTTCTGTTGAACAAATTAGATTTAGATTCACATATCAAACTGCGACTAGAATTGTGTAAATCTTTGATTATAAGGTATATATAAACAGAATAACAGAAGGCAACTTATAAATTATGGTATATGACAATATAATTATATTAATTTGACAAAAGAATTGACACCAATATCAGTGAGAATCTAAGTTATCACTTCTTTATTCCAACAAAATGGAACACGATATTATAGAATAATAAATCATGTTAAAACGAATTCACTGCAGTGCCACCATCCACTTTAGGCTGCTGACTGCAAACCGCGTTATTTAAAAACACTTTCCAATAAAACAAACGACATTCAGATATTTTCCTTTCATTTTTCCATTGTCCTTTATTATAACTGGATAACCAATGTTATTATTCGATTAACATATGAAATGGTAAATCGTTTTATGTACATTAAATCGAATCTTCATTGAATTTATTAAGATTATAATTGAGATTTGATAAAATTTGACCTTTAAAAAATATCAAGTCTCTGCACCATTGGAAGTGATTATGGAAAATACGTACAATTTCAACAAACGGGAAATTTAATTAAAATATAAATAAAACCACGAACACTTTTGAACTTTCGTTGTTTACACATAATTATATTTCTAGTGGTTACATACAAACTACTTGATTACTTCAAAAAGAAAACATGAAGAAAACCAAGAGAAAGCCGGAATGCATATGATAGACAATACTCTTTAAGTACTTAGCGACATCTTTTTCATTTCTTGACCTACTTTTTAAATAGGACCTCATTTTAGAATTTCCACTATAAAGTATTTAAGGTCAAGACATATATTTACCTCATTTATATATTATAAATGTGAAAGTTTCTTTGTTTGGATGTTTGTCCGTCAATCACGCCGAAACTACTGAACGGATTTTGATGAAATTTGGTATACAGATAGGGTATTAGCTGACTTAGATAATAGAATATTTTAAGTATATAGAAAGCTAGTATATTCATAAAAGAAAACTGTATTTATGATGGATTAACATTCAGTAAACTGCATGCAATTTGTGTAACGTTTTTTTATTATTAGTTTTATACCTTTATCAACATAAAAAACTAAAAACTATGCCAAATTTTATACTCCTCCATCCATATAATTTTCATAAAAAATGGGTTTAAAGGTTAAACTTCGTATGTTAGCTTAATGTTGAATGATAATTAAAGCGTATTTACAATAGTTGATTATATCCGCGTGCGGTATGCCGGCGATTTCTATTCATCCCTTTCGTTGGTTGCCATTGTTTTATTGACTAATGTGAAAAGTTTACTGACCCCGAGTGTAAATTAACCTTTAGTTTGGAGAGCCCTGTTATGTTTTAATAGGTTGACACCACGCGACAAGTTTTATTGCAAAATAAATAAGTTACATTAATATAATTCTTTCTTCTTACCCATAAACTTCATCCTTACTGTAAATAACATCACTTTACGACCTATATAATATTCCCTGAAAGCAAACACTACATGTTTATTAAATTGGATAAGACAAACAGCTGCTGTTCCGTTTCCTCATAAGGTTTCCTTTTACTACCATTCACTATAATTTGTTTTCCTTTTCCTGTAACTTCTTTATTTCGATAGACCATAAAAATGGTTCACCCCTGGGGTACTTTTACGCGAATGTTTTGTCGAGGTTAGACCGGTACAATCCCTTTTCTTTCTTTTTATAATTTTATGGCATTACAATGAATGCTATTGTTGAATACCTGCCTTCTCCGACTTCTGCGAACATTGCTTTGTTATTCTTAATTTAATATATGATTATATATTATGGGTTTACTGATTCCAGCTTTTAAGCTTACATATACATACTTCAAAAGAACCCTTATTTGTGTCTTTATTTAAATACTTTACAAACTTTAGCTACCTTAAAAAATTTAAATCAATAACTACGCTGTTTATTTATTGTTCCAGTGACACCGGAGTCTATAGTGGTGCCTATAGTGTCGTGTATTTTCGGATTTCCTTTGCTAGCTCTCACAGTCATCTGCTGTCTTAGAAGAAGAGCAAAACTGGCCAGGTAAGAAATTAATTAGGCTGGCATGACAAATAGTAAACCGTAAAGACCTAACAGCAAGCGAAAAGTGGGGGAAAGCGAAAATAGAATTTAACGTCGGATTAAGGTTCACAAAAACATAACAGCTTAATAATATAAAGTTACGTTATAAGTTATATGTTAGGTGAATAGTTAAGCGGTATGGAAATTACTTAATGGCATTTCGTAATATAAAAAAGTGATTTTTGTTTCATATTAGGTTAATCTCTTCAATCTTTCAGCCTTCAAAAATTACATAACTTATGTTCTTATGTTTCCTAAGTTCAATAAAATACAGATACGAACAAAACAACTTCCCCATCAAGATTGAAAGAGTATGACGTAACTTACTTTAAATAACTAACAATTCTTGCTTAAACCTTTTCCAGGTATCCAAAATAGTAATTTTTCTTACTGATCAATTGTCCGATATCATAAAACCTATCAAACATATTCTTTTTATAATATCTTTGTTCTAAATACTTTTTTCATCTAACTCGACATTCATTAAGTCTACAGTGAAGGCCTTATTGTAAAGAAAACCGATAAGAAACTTTCAAAGAGCTATTTTCTTCTCCTTGGATTGTTTGTGTTTTTAAAATTACTTGATTTTTTAATTTTAATTATAACGAGAACAAATATATTAGTTAAGAATTGTTATCAGGTCGAAATGGAAACACAACTCGCTAAAACGCTTGGAACGTGTGAATAACTCCCTGCGCTTAGGCGCCAATCATAAAGTACACATGATCGGACTGCCTATAATTATTATAAATTGGAAAGATTTGATTGTTTCTTAATATCGAATAGGTTCCGAAACTACTGTACCGATTAAAATCTTTCATCCTCAGGAAGTTACCATATGCGGATAACATAGGCTATAATTTAAGCAGGCGATGTCGCTGAATAAGCTAGTATAATATAATCGAAATAACGATAACTTACCTCATCTACCGACGACAAATTATCTTGTAGAATAAGCGAAAATTTCTACAGTAACCTTTGACTTTACATATGATACAAAAAAAGAGACAGGATATTAAGAAATCCTTTAATATCTTACGTATGTTGAATATTATTTGCATGAGTTATTAAAGTTTATAAACTAAGTTCTCCATCTAAGTGAAGGGTAACGATACCACATCGAGGTCTTTAAACCCTTAAAGCCAACTATTTAGGTTCTACCTTTATATCGACGTCAAGGTCGTCCGCATCATGCAATATAGCTGTTGTATAATACCAAGGAGGTTTTATTGTCATGTAATAAAATGCCACTGTTTTGTTTTGACCCCTTTGATCTTTATGTAGCTTTTATTCCTTATCATAAGGATTACTTATCATAGAACCTTAGCAATGGAATGAAAAAGGAATGGTAGAGTATAGTTAGTATCTGTTACAAAACAACTCCTGAATATATAACAAAATTTATGTTTAAAAAACACATTATAAGTCATGTGTCTTATAAGATTTATAATAATAATTATAATTATAATTCCTTTATTTTTTTTGTACAAACACCAGTTACATAAATATTTGAGGCCCTGACTTCTAAGCTAGTTTTACCTGTATTATAGAAGCCATTTACGTTTCGCTTCGTTTTTATTACGCGGGTAATTTTAATTTAAAATAAGTACTATTTAAAATGTAAAGTATAAGTTAAAAATAAGTACAAATTAAAATATAATTTTAAATTTTAGAAAGAAATTTGTTCTAAGTTAATTTTTTTACAACGAAAATATAATCAAATATTGGTTGACCTTTTTTGTAAAGATGAACGAAAGAGGCGCTAAATGCCCCTCAGACGTTGCATTTATTGAGGATTACCTGTGACTGTGACTTCGAGTAAAGACTCGGTTATACAGGGTCAGCTCGCGGAGTACAGAACTCTGCATGCTCACTCCATTGCCCAATAAACGACTAATGAAAACGAAGAAGACAAAACACCGCACGTAGATGTAATCGACCAATGTACATAATACGCCATAAATCTTAGCCTGTGTCACCCGCCATGAAGCTGCTTTCCATAGGTGATATATTTTTTTTAATTAATCCAATAGTTTCAAAGCCTACTCAATACGAATAAGCAAACAATCAAATTTTTCCTCTTTATAAAATTAGTATAGATTTCTCAACGCAGTCACCACAAGTACCGTATCAAATTCCATCAAATTTCGCAGCGTTCGAAATATGCGCATCGTCATAACACAGACAATAAGCTGTAAATTGGACTACTTGGAGTATAGAGAAAAGTACGGCTCGCACGAATGTTATAAATAGCATAGTTTAAACAAAGAATTCAAATAAATGTAGAAAAATCGAAGGAAAATATTTACTTAAAAAAGTTATAATTAAAAACGAAATACTGTAAATGAAGATCAAAAAGGATTACAATATATGAACAAAAAACATACATCGCCGTCGAATATATAACCTCCTCCTTTTCCATTTTGATGTCGGTAAAAAATATAAAAGGCATTCTATGCATATAGTACGAAGGTTACAATTTCAAGATGCGACATCTATAATAAAGAAATACTTAATGCGCTATCTTGATTTATGTAATATCGTCCCTATTTCTATAATAATATTAAATATAAAGAGGTAAAGTTTCTAACTTTTTTTTGTTATTTTGTAAGGAGTAAACTTCAGACGGACCTACGGGAAGTTGCATCTTAAGCGGATGATATGCGTTCTGTGATATAGACTAAATTTACGCCGGCAAAGCCGCGAGGAAACAGCTAGTTTTTCTTTTTTTTTAATGTTGTCTTCCAAAAGAGTTTATTACAGTTTATTAGAAAAGCATGCTCTACTTTTCCCTTTCAATCACTGTCATTGCCAATTATTTTATAACGATTTTATGTCAGTCCAAAAGGACTTTAATAATTCGTTGGCCCGGCTGTTATTTAAATTGATTGTTTTTAAATGTGACAACGTCAATTTAAACTCCTAGTACCAATCTAGTTATACAGGGAAATTTATAATCAGTGCGCACATTTTATAATGTGTGTGTCAAGCGGGGAATTCTCTAGACGCGCATGCTCGCGGTCAAGTCTGCAGGCATGCTCGAATCGCCTCGCTATTATTAGTCTGTGTTAATCTAATTCAAATTCACGTGTGTTTCTCTCTTTTTTAACCTTATATCTGAAATAAAGGAGAGTAAAGATATCAAATTTCACCTTGTTACTTAAAAATATTACGATTTCCTATTACACTAGGAGGTCGATGACCGATTTTTCTCAATATAACATCAAAATGTTAATAAATATAAAAAAGTAAATTGATATTTTAGAATGAAATATAAAAAAAGGTATTTTTAGCGTAAACATTTAAATTAATCATACTAAACAACAGGATAAAAATTGTACAGTAAAAAATTTATCCAATATATTATGTAAAATATCGTATAAAATTTACAAAAATGTAGATATAGCTATCCAATCTCACTTTTACCTGTATATATTCAATGTTAAATATTAAAATAAAACAAATCCAACAATTGGGCTTCTGACTAGGGTTGCCATGTTTCCGGCAGGTGCTATGCCTATTACAACATAAGATTTTGCCTTTAAAAGCTTTCAGAAAGGTATGTACATTATCCCACTGAATTTGGATTTCATTTCAAAATTTCCGGCTCATGTTTTTTAATATGGGACCTGACAACTTATTTTCTCCCTACAAACTGTTTATTTTACATATGTATTATAATAACAAAGTTTGACTTTGAAATCATCTAATAGAATCCTGATAGTAGCATCTCTAATAAAACAGAGTAAGGAATATTTGTTACCACTAGTGCTCGTGCACATGAAACTGAGATGGTTAACCTCCTTGTCCGCAACAAAAACATTAGATAGCAGCTGGATCTTGAAATCAACAAAACTAAAATCAAACTAATGGCAATAGACCGGGCTAACCACTGAACACGGAAAACGTTCCTGTGTTCTGAGGTGCTCACAAACTGGAGCTTGTGGGTGCACTCAACCTCGACATTGTTGACGATTATGTCTACCTGGGTGTTGTAACGTAGTGTATAATACACTACATTATTACATTATCAATTTTCAACACGAGATAATTTAAAAAAAATATATAATTATTAAATATTTTTTAATAATAAAATAAATTATAATTATTCAATATAAAAAAAAAATAAGAAAGTTTTGTATAATCATAGAAAAGATATATTCGTTATATGTTAGACGGAACCTTCAATTTCTACGTTCTTTCGCAATGGTTTTACTGCGCTTGTTTGTGACTCGACGCATCGCTAATACTGTAGGTAATAAATGCAAGCCGGTTCTGGCTCGCCGCTGATAGCAAACTGAGCGGTCACAAGACGACTAACCGTCTCACTAACTAAAAGTTGAATTTTGAACGCAACGTATTTAACGTTTTCGATTTTCTTATTAGTTATTGCTGTAAAATAATTATCGAACTGTATTTGTTTCCTGTCCAGAGTACTCTTAGTATTATTACAGTATTACCGAAAGCTGTGTACTTATAAAGTTTAAGTTCAAGTGTTTTATATTCCCATACTGGGTAAGTTGTGCAAATTCTTTTATTAAGTAGTAACTATGTTAAATGGTGAAGTTTAAATGTTGGTATCGTCTGCGTACTACCAAGATAATGCTTATTGTAATTGAGAAGCGAGTGAATTTAGTATGTACCGTTGTATATTACCTATATGTAGGTGGTTTCATTATTTTTTAATAGGTTAATATTTTTTTGCTATTATCTTTAAATTATAGATAATAATGAGTAATCATTAGTCCCGCATTAAGTTGTATTTTGTTTCTTAAGCTTAGTTACTAGTTTCATCATTACATTTGACTGGCTACCGTTCTGAATAAATCATTCAAGCTGCTTTAACCACCTACACTTTCTTACGCCTTTTTACTAGCTTATTCAGTTTTCCTATAATGCTTCACAGTCCTTAGGTCGATTAAAGCCTGTCAGTATAAATCGTAAACCATCTATACGGTACG